TTAGAGTTCTCATAACTACATATTTGAAGTTGAATGACACCAGATTGACACTAGTCTGGGAATTAGGAGAATGGTGTTTTTGTTTTAGTTCTGACACTAACCAGAGAGCCCCTTTGCCTGGGTCCAGGTTTCCTCCTCTGTAAAGCGAGGGTCTCCTGAGGAATGTCTGTGCTTCCATGTGGGAGACAGCAAGAATCAGCATATTTTCCTCTCTACTTTGGCTGCCAGAAAGCTCAAAGTCTTTATTTAAGGGACTCTGCAGGGCCCATGGCTCGATATCTTGATACTGTTTTCTTCCCTGGTTTTGACCTTCTGTTCTAGCTTTTATTTTGCCTGATCTTAGCATTTTATTATTTTCATATTTAATATTGTACACGTTTTACACTGTACCTCTAATATTTTGTATAATGAGCATGATATAAATGAATGGTAAAATGCGGGGTGTCACACAGATGAGCTCTGGAGGTCCTTCCAGTATTGATATTCTAGGACCATAAGAGGAAAAGCACTTTCACATGTCTGGAAGGTTCTAGGTTGCATAGGAGGAAGGTCTCCTACTGAGGCTCCTGAGCAGTTCAACAAACTTCTAAGGAGGCCTTGCCAGGATGTTCTGTAAAAGGGTCTGCACTTGGCACTAGTTATGGGAAGATATCTTTTCTACTGCGATTTTTAGACTTGCCCCGTACGAAGTCTGGTGGAGAAAGGCTTGTCTGGGTTGGGCCTCAAGAATCTGCAGCTGTTATCAAGAACTCCAAGTAGTTTTGATGTGGGTGTTCCCAAGTCCCAAGTGTATGTGTATTTCCAGGTGGGGGGAGGGCAAGGGGCAGAGGATAGTTGATGTCTCACCTGTTCCATCCATGTGCTCATCTTGACTTTTTATTGTACTGAGTAACCTCACTAGGGCTTGAATTACTTTATGAGTGTTTATATAAAAATTGATAGTATCCTATGACATCATATATATTTAAAGGCATACTCCTACTTTGAGTAAATTAAAAGCTTTAAAAATATGTCCTAAACAAACACCAATTACTAAGCAGTTATTAATTTTTTAAATATTGCTTTACTAAAGCTCCCACCATGAATTCCATGAAATGTGATATATATGTTGTTGTTGTTTATGGTACCATCGAATCGGTTCTGACTCATAGCGACCCTGTGTATGACAGAACGAAATACTGCCCGGTCCTGTGCCATCCTCACAATATAAGGATCGTTGCTACGTTTGAGCCCATTGTTGCAGCCACTGTGTCAATCCATCTCATGGAGGGTTATATTGGTTAATGTTAATGTGTCAACTTGGCTAGGCCATGACTCTCAATATTATGTAATTACCCTGCATTTTGTGATCTGATGTAAGGGGAATTTCCTTGAGGGTATAGCCTGCATCCAATATATATGGATGTTCTGGCAAAGCTCCTTCTCCCTCAATCCTGCATCCGACTCCTGCATCTGACCTCCAGTTCTTGGACATAAGCCAGTAGCCGGCCACCTGACCTGCAGATTTTGGGTTCATCAGCCCCTGCAACCACATGAGTCAGGGGAAGCTTCCAAGGTGACATCTGACCCACGCGTTTGCGACTTGCCAGGCTCCACAACTGCGTGAGCCATTTCCCTGAAATAAATCTCTCTCTCT